AAAGAAATAAGATGCCCTGTGGTTTCGTTCTATGAGGTCGGATCTTGTACATCTAGGAATATAAGCAGTGCATTGTACTGAGTTAGCATCATTTTCAAAGCAAATAGTAATCATGTGTTATGAATAGTCATTAAATGTCAAGATATCAAAGCATATGTAGATAATTGTACTATGTTAGCGTCACTTTCAAAGCAAACGGTAAGCATGGGTTATGAATAGTAATTAAATGTCAAGATATCAAAGTATATGTAGATAATTGTACTATGTTAGCGTCACTTTCAAAGCAAACGGTAAGCATGGGTTATGAATAGTAATTAAATGTCAAGATATCAAAGCATATTAAGGTAGCGAGACTATTATTTGTGTTGAAAATTACGATTTTCACATTTATTTATTAATTGATGAAATGCACCATAAACTTTCATATGATAAAGTCAATATAACATAGAATGTCATGTAAGTTGGTTAAAATGTAGATTTTCTGAAGGGAAGCAAGGCAGCCTCAGTAGTGTTTTCCAAAATCAACAACACAGGTTTAATCTGTGTGCCTATAAGTTTCAAAGATAAACTCAAGACAAAGCAATGTTAGGATGTGTTATTAGTAGCTATCTGACACACAATGAGTGTTTCCAAACATTTGAGTGGTTTGTCTCCGCCCCTGTTTGTTTCACAGATTAGTCATTTGCATATGAATGTGTCAGACACAAGGTCACACAGCCACTGAAAAAAATCATTGATTTTGGTGTTTTCATATGCCGAATTTATCCAATTATAGCTATCCCATTCCTTTATTTTTTTTGGTTTCCAATAGCCTTACACATTTGGATGTCCCTACACATGGTAAAACAGACCTTGATGGGAAAACTAATTGATTGTGCCGATAAACAAGCTTGAAAATCTTTGCTGTTACTTCATGGACGTTTTCTAGGAGTTTATGTTTTTCAAAATACAAGGTCTTTAACAAAAAATAACGTATACTTATTGTCGTCGGATTAACACCAAATTTTCACAGCTTTAAGGTGACATGAGAGGAACTTGAATGTGTCCAGACAAACTATTTCATCGATTATTTACCAACAAGTTGTGGTTTGAGTTGGGGGCAATGCGACTAAAACAGTAATTGAAATTCAGGACACTATTTTTTAAAACGCGTTGCTTGAATAAAACTAACCAGACACATTCGATTTACCAGACTATCGAACAACTAGGAAAAGTGAAAAAAATACTTCTTATCGCCAGCATAAATGCGTAATTATTTTTTTTTACAGAAAAAGTAATTTTTCACCTTTGATTGAGTAACGCGTCGTAGATTGCAGATACGGGCATGCAAAATACACTTGTGAAAAGCTTGAAGTCTGGCGATTCTAAAAATATATACTTTCCCGGGTTTATTTGTAGTCATTTAGTCACAATTAGAAGATGAAAACAAGTATGCAAATAATAGTCCCGCTACCTTAACAGAACCACATTACGTACGAAGATGAACCACGTTCCGTACTACACTGACCCGAGAAAAAAATACAATAATATAGAGAATTTATATATTTGAATTTATTCAAAAATCATCTTTCCAATGACTGTAAGTTTGTGTATTTATTTATAAGATGCTTGGATTCTCACACTTTGCAAAGTATAAAATTGTTTTTTGCAATTTTTGTTTCTGTTTTAATGTTTCACTTTCATTCTAGCTTTGTTTTAAAGTTTTGTTTTTGATTTGTTCTGTTGCTTTTTGCTTAAACTTAAAGCGGGGGAGTCGTCACCTGCGCATGCGCCAGATGGCCATAGCCTGTCATTGTTTACAAACAAGCGTCTGCCCATGAGCCTTTGCGTTTTTAGCGTGTGTTGTTATCGTCGCTTGGGACTCAATTCCTGCGCGTGCGCAGGTGACGACCGTCCCGCTTTAATTTTTCATTTTTGTTATTACTGTTCATTACTGTTAATGAAGTGTCTATTATATTTTCAATAGTTTATTTTAATATTTCCATTTTTGTTTTTTTATGTTTCATTTTTTCACTCTGAATTTTTGTTGAATGCATTTTTTACTTCAATTGTCTATTAAAAAGTGCTTGAATCATTAGACTTGCCGAAAGGTATATGTTTGTAAACGTACCGAAACTCAGCATGTGCCGAGATTTGCTGCCTGAACGTTCGGCACGAACCGAAATCAGGGCCTCGAGAACATACGCTGATTAATACAAGTATGACACGACGACAAAGGAAGTGCAGCTAGATATGACCGGATACTGTAGTGAAGACGAATGAAATGAGTGCAGAACGTTGTCGGCGACGCATATTTATGTGCTGCTGCAACCGGTTCCTTCTTGTAATCATGCTACATCGACGTAAGAAAACAACTGCTCCACGCATCCCTCTTTTCAACCACAAAGGATTACAAATTCCGTCACGCACCGACGGAGGTGCTGTATATCCTCGACCTTAAATGCAAAATGATTTTCAAAAAACAGCTGCTTGTCAGTTGTCGAATTCTAAATAGCATAAAAAAACGCAGATGGAAAATAAATGTATTCTCTCCGCCTCTATCATGTTTATTTTCCGGCAGACACTCTGAATGCTAGTAAGGTTGTCGTTTATGGAACAACAATTCAACCAATGATGTAATGAGGCATGTAGTATTTGCATAACAAAATAAGTTTAATGGTTTTTCGAGAGGCCACTAAAATATGTCTGCAAATAGTATGTTTACTCCTTATAAGAGAAAATTAGAACCAGTAAATACAGTCACGGTAGGAGCAAGAAGAGAAAAGACTGTGACTTGCAAACAAAGTCACGAATTTCGAGTGCACTTGTCATCTCATGAAACAAATCCAGTCAAAACTTTGGCATGACCTTTTGACTTTTTAACGACGTTTGGCGTCTTTTACTGCCTTTACGAGTTACATAATATTATTGCACGGATCATTTGATACACTTTTTCTATAAATCGAGCCCTCTAGTGGCGAAGCGCTAGTATGGCGTAAATGGGCGTAAAACAACAGCCGTCCCGAAACGTCGATATCATTTCGATCTATAGCCCATCAATAAAGTTTTTGTTTTATGGAAGATTGTATTATATTTCCGACGACAACCACGTGGACGACAACCAGCTCTTTAAGCAAACACGTCGCTAGAATGCGCAATTTTTAGGGATGACGCATATAAATAAGCGTATTTCCAACCACGTGATTTAACAGAACCACATTAAGCACGGAGATGAACCACATTACGTACTACACTGTTTCGAGAAAGAAATACAATAATAAAGAGAATTTATATCTTTCCAATGACTGTAAGTTTGTGTATTTATTTATTAGATGCTGTGGATTCTCACACTTTGCAAAGTATATTATGTTTTGAAAATAAGACTGGTGTCCAAACGGCTGTACTAAACAATGCTGCGTTTAATGTATATAAATATAATAGGTAGATCCTGAGGTAGGCAATTGGAAGTACCAGTAGGTCATCGACGGGGTCACATGTGGTTGTTCAATGTAAAGACAGCTCTCAATATTGACATCGTGATTTGAGACTCAATGACGATGCGCATGCTCTCTTTTGACAAGAAATGTAGCGTTTTCGAAATAGGTCAAACCATCACAAATAAGCTTCGTTGTCTGTTATTCTGTCAATATTGAGAGCTGTCTTTACATTAAAGCGCGGTGGCCGTCACGCAGCGCGTGTTCGAATTTCATGTAAATAAACAATGTATTTTACACGTCACGTTGTATACGTCGCTATGAGTCCCATATCGAACAGGACGCGGCACGACGACCGCCGCCCTTTAAACAACCACATGTGACCCCGTAGGTGACCTACTTCCAATTGTCTACCTAGCGAAGTTTTCATCAAGTCGAATACTATGAAAGGGAAAATAAAATGTAGCAATGTATTGTACGAATCGCACGGTTGCGCGAGCTCCGATGTAAATATACTCCCTCCACGAACCCGTGCGGGATTGCAATGAGAAGTCACATGTTTCACCTCTGTAAAATGCATGGTTATGATTGGATGCGCCTATGAACCATGCGCTCAATCAGAGTTGGCGTAAACTGTGATGTTCAAAGCTTCCTCGGACGTGTTATTAGAGTATGTAGTAAAATTGTCGGCCTATAAAGAATCCATGGTGTGTATAGAGACCATGGTTAAATCAGTCGTGGTGGCCGTTGGCATTGTACCCATCACGTGGCCACGATTTAAATAGTACATATACCAGTGCTGTCCCAAAAGACCGTGACGTCTACTGTTTTGCCAGCGGTCTAAGACCGGGGTCTTAATTAATCACGATACTTAACCACGTTTACATCCGGGCATTTCAACAAGGAAGTACACTTGTTAACGAGTCAGCCAGCCAGCGTAGCATCTCCAAGCGGAAATAGATCACCCCTTAGTTATATTGCTAATCCGCTGGCAGTATACGACTCATAGACGAGTCACATAATTACGCTCAATATAAAATGCAAAGTAGTTACGGAAAGGTATTTCTTGTTATGACCCATGTCCGAGTCGTTTCAACTTTTTGCTGGCATAAATTTGAGAAGATGAAAAGACAGAGGAAAAGAACGTGCACTACACCGGACAATTTTTGGCAAAATGACAGGAACAGATACGAAAATTTCTTGTTTTGGCCAAATACAATAAAGTAAGACTATATAATAGAAAACTACGAGAAGGGTGACCTTTTCAGTTAAACAAAAACACACAAACAAACTTACATTAAACTTACGCATGCGCTAACGTTGCCGAAGTATCTTAATGTCGTGCGTGATTTAGAGGTTTTACATTGTAAATGCGGACGGAACTTTCCATTACACATATTCCATATGAGGAAATTCCACTTCAGACTCCGATAGACCAACACAACCCTGTTTGCTTTGCTGCAGGGAAGTCTGTTAATCTATGAGTCAGTAAGTATTGGCAGCCCAATCCGCGCTCAGAACTTGTTATTGTTTATTTTGTTTGTTAGCGTTTTCCAGGTCGACCTATTGCAACGCACCTGACTCACCATGTTGTCGGCGGAAAGGGGAGTCTGTATACTATTTACCATGTTGATCGCTTTGACGACGCACTGTAATGGCACAATTCTCGACACTGAAAAGCTGAGGAACGAACTCTTCAATTTGGCATACAGTGGACTTGGTGTACAGAAAATGCAGGTGACGTTATATGGTATATTTTATATATAAAAAATGTTACAATACTAGCTGTCATGTGACTCACAAGAATGCTACACACAATAAACACGATTCCAAACGTACAGTGTAGGTCGTTATGCATGGTTGGACCTAGTAAAGTTGTGTCTCAGTTAACTGACTACAACATTTTGAACAGACAACTGAGATGTTAAATATTTCTGTTCATTTTTTACTCATTCTATATCGTGCCTTTTTAAAAATAATGTTGTGTTGTTTTCATAAGCAGAATATGTATTTGCGTTGTTCGCTTATAGGATTGTTTAAGTCAAAAATGCTATTTTCGACGACTAATTTACTACAATTTTCATGTTAATACTATTTGTGGATTATATGGCGTCAACTACTGTTACTTTGTGTGGACTGCTGTACTTTTATTATTGTGAATCATTGTTTTTAATTTCATTGTTGACAGAAAATGCTACTTTCGTCTAAAAATCAGGAAGCTTGCTTGTTTAATATTAGTGAAGTTATATGAAATGTGTTCGACCATGTTTTATAATAATCAGTATATTCATCATTGCTGTGATTTGAAAACCATTAGATAGATTGTTCCTATGTTGGAAATGTTAAGTATGTTTGTCGTGAAATATAATACAATCTATTTAATTCTGATTTCTGTATTTGGTTCCCGTCTATTCCTATAATTTGAAACCGCAAAAGCTTTATAACGCCTCTTCGAATTACCTGCAACTCAAAGCGATATAAGCCACCTATACATACATGGAACAATCGTATTCACCTGATCGTTTTGTCTTTTGTTTATGTTTTTCCCCTTTGTCATTCGTTTATGACCTCAGTCTTTGTCACGCAAAAACCCAGGGTGCAGAGGAATTGGGAACAGGTACTTACGAACACAGGGGAACACTAATGTTTCATTCAACGCGGTGTAGTTTTGTGTCAATGATACCAGTATCGTGTTATCGTCTTTCTGATTCCCATTGTCAAAAGGCAGGGTGGTGGCAAATCAGTCCTGGTGGTTTTTGTACCAATCAAATAAACTAATATAAATACACAATCATACACAAATAAAATAGAGTACATTCCCTAATTTGAACGTTATTTTTCATGTTGAGAATTCACCGCTACACTCAATTGTTATTACATGCTCCGTTTTCATAAGTGAAAATATCAAGTTATTTCCCTCCGTTTTCCGGCCATACCAACATTACATAACAATGATTACTAGTATTTTAAAGCGCTGTGGTCGTCGCGCCACTCATGCGCGAGAAATGGAACTCGTATGAACAAAGATGGCGACTTTGACTGTTACGCAGATCAACGAGTACAAACTGAGACGTTACTAAGATTTAACCATGTAATTACCATTGTAATTGGAAGGTATCGAAGGAGTCGCCGGCGGTAATTAGTGCACGTTGCGCGCAGATCAAAAGTCGTAATCGTGATTTCCATTAGAAGAGCGCATTGGATTGTGGGAAAATCAATGTTTATCAACACCCCTGACTAGTGTCGCATATGCGCGGCGCAACGACTACCCCCCCTTTAATAAAAATATGATATGGCCTTGTGTTTGCAGTTTAATTATGTCGGTGAATCTATCATATTAAAATATTTAATCTCTTTGGCAAATGCAGACTCGATCACATTTTTTAAACTGTATACTGAGCTATATAATACCAGACATAACATGATCAAAATAAGAGATATGGCATCCCGGTTATTGCGAATGTTTGTAATATTTACATTCATTTTTTGATATTTTTGATCACATCTTTGAAATTTTAAATTATTGAGTGTTAATTCATTGTCTTATGTGTTTTAAGTCCTCGTTATTTGTATGGTTTTTACTGTCGACAGTGCCAATGTGTCACCCGGAGGCCTGTTTCACTACTTTCGTCACCACTACCAAAAATGGGTCAGTTCATTGTAGAAGCGAACACGCCAAATACCAGTTCGCTTTTGAAAACTCACACACGTGTCACTTAACTTGATACTGACAAAACTTGACATTCTTGAACGTGAAATTATACACTAAAGAAACATTGTTTTTTTTTCAACTAATCATTGTTATGTACCACTTTTCAGTAACAAAAATGATCTTTACTATAAAAACCTTCTTTCGAACGTTATATACAGACCCAACATTCAACTGACAGATAAAAAGGTCACCATTAATTAAAAGTTAATATTACCAGTTAACAAGTTGTCAAGACAAATGATGTGAATTTAATAAAAAAAAGAGGTGCGAACACTAGTTGATAATAAGCCATTATTTAAGCGTAAAGTAGGTTATTGGTGTGGCCGGAAACGCCGTCATCTGTGACGTAATATACATCGTTTGAAACTTCATTTGCAGAAAAGAATCTGGTTATAAAAACAGGGTATATATGTGAATACGTAATATAAAGTGAAAAATGAAGCGCGATATCAGTTAATTCTCTTATTTCAATTCTGTATCATTTTAATCATTGGTTATGTCGCAAAACGCCATGCAGTCTAAGCTATTTTCAAAGATGGCTTGGTTTGCCCGATTTATTTGTGAAATTCTCTGATTTACAGGACCATTTTGATTCATTACGCTTTGGACCATTGTCATTGGCTGGTGATGACGTCATCGAACAGGTATGTATATGCACTAGTTTGCATAAGACAATCCTCATCATAGTTTTGTTAGAATATATCGCGTTAGTAGCTATTATAGTACATTTTAATTGGCTGGCACATTACGATGTGCATTGTGAAGACATTGTCAGCTTAATCTGTTAGTACCTTTCATGATCCTATAAAAACAATATGATTGGTTATAGATCATTTCCGTTTTATTAGATGGAGCTAGCAATACGACAGAAAATTGTATCCACGGTTAAAGCTATAGAAAATATCCGTGAAAGCGTGGAAAAATCTTTTGAACAAACGGAAATCGCGTTTACGCCTTGTTGTGAAATACCCAACGACCTGGAGTTCAATACGGCGTTTGGCAAGTCGGTGAGTATGACATAGTTTTGCCGACTTACTTGGTCATGTAGAGTGCAGATTATTTTATACACGTACCTCAATCATGCACGAGACAAAATGTGCTCCTTCTGTACCGATTTCATGTCGAGTGAGCGTGCATCTCTTGTCCGCAGCGTAGTAAACATAATCACTTCATTTCAATTCATGATAATCTTTCATATCTGTCACACCGTAGTTAGATCCACGCATCGGCTGCACAAGGATTGCTGACAACGCAGATCCAAATCCAAGATTTCTTTCAAACGAGGTCATTGATGTCATGAAGGAGAATTATAATTCATTTTCAAATCTCAAATGGCAATATTTCGGCAGCGAGGAGGGTATATTTACAATCTATCCCGCTTCTCTGATTGATGATTGCGCCAACTACGACCACAGATTCAGGTAAGATAATCATTTGTTTATTTAAAATAACACTTACTATGTGGTCCACACTTTGATAATTTTCGAGGAAGGGTCAATATGTGTCAATATTTGTTTTGGGGTACATATCGGTGTTACTATGTTGCAACATGTGGATTTATTGCTCGTGAATTCGAATATGCAAATTAGTATTACTATTCGTAATAACAATAACAGAGTTGTTGCTTTGTGTGTTAGTTATTTTGGAGAGGTGTTGTTTGTGTGTGTATGAGAGAGAGAACACATTCGTTATATAATATGAGGTTATTACGAGGATACCGAAAAGTAGGCATGAAGACAGTACAGCGCATGAGTGCATACTTTGCGGTATCCTCGTAATAACCTTATTATTATACATCTTTTCCTCCCAAGGATACGTAATAGGAACGCCGAAATCCAAAAATTGTTGGATTTAGCGAACTTCTTTGTGTGGAGGCCGGTCACATCCTGGTGGCAGCCATGTTTGTTTTTATTATTAGAGGACACTTGCGCACGTAATCATTCCATCTTTGAAATTCGCATTCCCTAATATGGTAGGATGAAAATACCCCGTACAATACCGCAAAATTACGGCACGCTGTAACTTATGGCGTAACGGTGACAGATGTATAATAATAGTATATAGTAACAATATTAAATAATATATTTTTGGCAATATATCCAATTTTAATTATCTATTAAAGTCGTATAATTATATGAATTCTAATATTGTTAAAACATTTGAACAAATGTAATTTAGTCAGTTTTCAATGTGAATACATTATCGTCTGATCATTTCTTTTTTATTTCCAGGGTTCTCCCCAGAAAATTTCTCAGGGTTGCAACTAATTTGCATATTAATTTGCATACCGATTAACATAATGTATAGTTATATTTTGTTTTAAATAAACAAGATTTACTCTGCTATTACAATCAATTTCATATTATCGATTCAGACCGTGGTATGTGGAAGCTGCAACACCGGAACCTAAGAATGTTGTTATTGTAATTGATACAAGTGGATCGATGGCTAATCTGCACTCTGGGAAAAGTTTGATAAACATAGCAATAGATGCTGCCATCACAGTACTTGACACCATGAATCCGAATGATAAGGTAATTAGCTTACATTGACAACTACGGTGTTTTTATTGCATACAGTAATATGGTATGTATTTGCATATATTATAATTGTTAGCTCTCATGTCTAATATCTTCACGCTGATTGGTCAGAATGTGGTCAGTCATGAAAACGGTTTAATGGCCGCTGGTGAGATTATGGAGAAATAATGACTCGCGCAGCTCTGAATGTCCTTACTGCACATGCGCGTTTTGTTTGTTTACATTATGGCGTCGTCGTCTGCAACTCCGATTTTTAAATTTTGATATGGGATTTGATTTCTCAAATTTTGACGACGGAAATGCAGTGACGCATTTGGGTTCTACGACATTTGGAGAGATGAATGAGATGAGAAAAAATACTCACCGTGACTGCCAGAAAAATAAGAAAGCAGCTACCGCCGCTGTCAAGGTGTTTCGATAATACTGCACGGAGAACAACGTCAGCCGCAATTTTGAAGACATCGGCAAGGAGGAACTTGCATCGCTGTTGGCAGTGTTTTACACTGATGCCAAACCCAAACGTTGCAGGCCGTTTGTGGCACACTTCGTCAGCAAAGTGACAAATATTTAGGTCGACCATGTTTTAACAAAGTCATGAAACTCTATTCGACTGACCATTTTGTATTTTGACACAAGATAGCTGATTGGCTCCAGTGGTTCAATCTGCTAAGGGTTAGTTTGGAGGGGTGACCCGAAACAAACGTTCTTTGGTTGGCGAAGATGTTAAACGTCAAGACTGTTCAGCTTAACGACGAAGCTTTACACCACAATGTCCGGGGTTAGGTAACGATCAATCAATTAATGGTTTTATTAACAGTAACATATGATATTAAATTCAGGGCACTAAATAAAATGTATGTATGTATGTTGTTGTTGCTGTTATTGTTGTTGTGAACACATTGTAGTAGTTTGTTCTATCGCAATCAAACTCTTTATGTTTTATTTTATACATGTACAAACTGACAGGTCAATATGTTCACAATAAAGAAAACAAGTGTTATGATGTTGTTATTGAATACATTGTTGTAATTAATTTATTTGGTATAATAATTTAAAAACAAATACTTATTTCACTGTTCACACAATATTCAATTTAGATGGCCCGTGGATGAAATTATCGACCGAGGCGCAGCAGAGCTCAATAATTTCATCTGCGGGTCATCACAACTGAACTCCACTTCGGTAACTATTTCTATAATAATGAATGTACATACCAACAGATCCGATAACAACTGTCTTATGCACAAGAACGCTTGACGGCGTAAACCGAGTGAAGTCCAGTTCAGTCATTGATACGGTTCTTTCTTGTTCCTCGTCAGGTTGGGGTGATAGCATTTTCAGATGAACTGAAGTTGCCACCTAAGATCGGAGACGCCAGCTGTTATGCAAATGAACTGGCATTAGCTACAACAATCAATATACAAAATTTAAAGCAATTTGTATTGTCCTTGGTAGCTAGGGGTGAGAACCTGTATGATAACTTTCACTTTAACTTTATTGACAATATTCATGTTGAATAGAACATAGACCAATCTATAAAGAAATAACAATTCCTAAATACATAAACAAAAACATACTAAAACAGTTTAACAAAAGGGCTTGGAGAAATCAGGGAATTGATAATCACTGTATCACATTACCATACTTTCTTTTATAAAAATACCAAGCTGTATTAATGTGGAAGTGTTGCCCATAATGTATTTAAATTTTGAATCTTCATCCATCAAATGAAAATTAACAGTTTTATTTCTAATTGAGTCAAACAATTTTCTCCTAATTGTAATATGTTGTGGGCATTTCATAACATAATGGAATTCATTCTCAATTGAATTTGTGTTGCATCTTGTACAGATCCTGTGTTCATCTTTAACCTTTGGCCTTAAGTGCCTGCCTTTCTCAATCATTAAGGGATGATCACTTATTCTTAGTTTGCATATGCTTTTTCTTATTCCACCACCCTTAACATTATGTATATATTCCTCCATTTTAAATTCTGTTTTGAATAATTTATATGTTCTTAGTTGATTCTGTTCCCCTGTCCCATCTGTATTTATATTTTTCTTCCAATTTGAATCATAGTCAGTCTCTAAACGTTTACAGATTTGTTGGATGTTATTTTCATTCCCACTTCTTTTTTACCAGTAATTTCTTGCATTGACTATGTATGTGTACCATGTGTGTAATGTATGGTAATATTATCATTAAGTAGCCTGCCTCCCGCTTCACCAAGCATGCTTACATAATGTCAATTTATTTAACTTATAGGAGGAACACACTACGGCAAAGCATTTGATGCAGCGTTTAATTTGCTGAAAGAATCGTACACACTGGATGCCGACAACGAACGGGGTAAGATCGAACGGGGTAAGGATAGATTATACCTTCACTTCGCAGAACTACTATGATGTTTATATATTAGTTCATGTCCTGTTTTGTACATTGTTTCCCCGACACATAGCCATAAATATAATGGAAGGTACTCGATACAGCTAGCTATCGTAACACATATTCTAAGAGTATAACTACTAGTATTAGTATGCCTCCGATATATACTGAATCCATAATACATAACTATTTCATCTGTAGACCAGGTCATTATTTTTCTGACTGATGGTGAACCTCTTGATGACAAGACAAGCATAATGAGGAAAATCCGTTCAAATAATGAAGAAATGGAGAATAAAGTGACCATTTTGACTTTTGGTCTCGGTTTAGGTGAGATCACATGCGGCTTGGCTCATTTGGGAGCAAATTATATCGTATGTGATTATTGGAAAGAATATGAATCACAAAAGGAATATTGTTCTACTCCGTCGTATCATGTTTATATTGACGATGATGTTGCTGATGACCATGACATTGCTTTGTATTTCTTTTTTAGATTCTGGGATCAATTTCCTTGAAGATATCGCAGTTCAAAACTATGTCAATCATGGACTAGATGCAGTAAATACTAGCATTGGAGAAAATAAGGTTTTTATGTCAAAACAGTAACGAATAAGTAACATTAAAACGTACAAGGTTTACTTTCACAGACTTACAAATAACGTATGTTTTCAATTTATTTCCCAGCCAGGTGTATTTACTCACGTGACTGATTACACTCTATTGCGCAGTAAAATGGCTAGATATTATGATTATTTTGCAAACTTTGACAGACTGACTGATGAGCCCATATTTTCAGTTCCATACCAAGATGGATTTGGACTTGGTAAGGAAACATTTTATCAAGTGAAAATTTCTTGTAAATATTCCAATGCATAACGATGCCTGTATTTATTTATTTATTTATTTATTTATTTATTTATTTATTCATTCATTCATTCATTCATTCATTCATTCATTCATTCATTCATTCATTCATTCATTCATTCATTCATTCATTCATTCATTCATTCATTCATTCATTCATTTATTTATTTATTTATTTATTTATTTATTTATTTATTTATTTATTTATTTATTTATTTATTTATTTATTTATTTATTTATTTATTCATTCATTCATTCATTCATTCATTCATTCATTCATTCATTCATTCATTCATTCATTCATTCATTCATTCATTCATTCATTCATTCATTCATTCATTTATTTATTTATTTATTTATTTATTTATTTATTTATTTATTTATTTATTTATTTATTTATTTATTTATTTATTTATTTATTTATAGGAATGATGACAACAGCAGCGATACCTGTGAAATATGCTAATGAACTAAAGGGAGTGATAGGTGTAGACATAACTTTAAGTGATCTGTTAGAGGATGTTACTTTCTTCACGGGCGGAGATAATTCATACGCATTTGTTTTTGAAGCCAATACATATGCAAACGGTAAGAATAGACTTATATTTATGACAAAGAATCTTGGTGCTTTCAACATGTTAACTTACGTTTCATTCTTGTAAACAATTGGTATTGTAAGAATAATTTTAGGTTTTACTTCAGAGTTAAGGAAACAAACAAAGCCTTGACAATAAAATACATTGTCAAATTAGTGAGAAAAAAAACATTCATGTGATATGAACGGATAATGCTCTTTAAGGCCGACATGTGCTGGGCGGAGCATAGTATTCTAATTATTTAACGACAGCAACTATCAATCGTTCATTAAACGTATATAGTCCTAATCTTTTGTTTATGTGTATAGTTACTGATTTGAGCTGTGTAAAGTGAAATAAACAATTCATTTATGGTGACGAGGCAGCTTGTTGGAATCCGAATTCAAGTCGGGTATACTAGTATGCACAGTTCATTCTAAAGTGACAAGATCTATGCTGCAGTGTTCAATAAATAATCGGCCATCTGCCATGATGTGTTAATCTAAATTATAATTGGGAAGTAGTCCTTCCTCGGACCTCGCAGTCATCGTCTAATAATAGAGGTGATTTCCATTCATTGCGGGATATCGCGTATTGCGTGGAAGACGTGGGTCAAACATCTGATTGCATTTTTTTATTTTTTATTTTATAACTCAATGTCGAAATGCCGACCTTTCAAAGGGGAATATGACGTTGAGATTATTCCCAATATAAAATTGATCATTATTAAAAGTAGAAACACCTTCAAATATAAGTTTCCGATATCCTGACATCACTACGACACTATGTCCTGTTTTAACGTTCGATTTCACACATAGCGCCGGATCTCAGAGTAATCGGAAAATTCAGACTTTGCTATTTAGACGTTTAGGTTATCCGTGTAGGATGTTTTACGCTGCAAAATCAACTAGCATTGTTTTTATGGAGCTTGTATAGATAACGTTGTTGAAGTCATCATCGGCTAATTCCAGTTTCTTAGATAGGTTAGCCTGACAAGTGAGATATCTACATTGTCTAAACGTGTCGTGTATTGCATGGGTAATATGGTTTGTGTTTTGATCCCTTCACAGGACGCACATTGCTTCATCCGCTATTACCGTCCCCGTTAGTCATCAAAGACGAACCGGTATATGTGCATATTACGTCACTGGAAAGGGAGCAAGAGTTTTTCGACTATGTTTATACGAATGCAACACAGTAAGCTAACCACAGTATAGATTTTTTTAGAGAAATACAGCAAATGTTTGCGATTTTTAAAACAAATGACTTCAAACGAGCTTCCTCTCTTTTTGTTTCAAATCATCATAATCACGTCAGTGATTGCACAGGCGGGGAAACGACATTCATGTCCAAACGGTATCTATCACGAGGCAACCAAAGGACAGAAGGCGTCAGTACGATTTCCTTACCATCTACATATTACTGGCGTCGTGTAAGTATACGCACCCATCAACAAGTTAAACGGATGTAGTTTCGATATACCGTTGTCACGCAGACATACATTGGTATTGAATTCATTTTCATTGATAATCATTTCGCAAAATGTGAAAGTATTGCGAAAATACGATCATGAATGTACATTAACATGAATGTTTTAAAAAACTATATAAATAGCTATTCCCTTTTTTCAGAGCATTTATATTTATATGTGACGTCAATCACATGGATGATGCACTGAAATCTGACAAGTATTACTAAATTAAATTTAAAAGCATTTATATAATGTTTGCACATTTACGGATCAATATTTTACAGGTCATTGGTTCCAACTATGTTGTATGTTTTGTAGAAGCTGTCGGTGATTACAAAGTCGAGCTCCTAGAGCAGAGTTCCCCGGCAAATAGTAAGCGCTGCAACATTCATTTCAAATGCATGACTTTGTAAAGTAATGTGGTGCACCGTGCATGTGATAACTGGTTTGCTTTATTAAAATAAAACCCGATTGTCATTAGCATTATCAGTAACATTCAAGTTCGTGGCTTATAAATACATCAATTTGAAATATCGGTAACATGCTGGTTATTAAATTGTCTTTTAGCTGGCGACTTTGTATATCATCGTCTTGATATAGTCCCACCAGATACGTCGTGTCAATATGTAAATAGGCTAGCAACAACAGGTAAAGTTAGTTGGAGTTTTAGGTTGGTTATGCTCTTAACACTACGATAAAGACTTTCCATTTTTTACATTGTGAAATTCTTTCGTTTTTATTCAGACAAATACAATATTTTTACTAGGTAAAATCATATTTATTAAACTTATTGTTCATACATGAGTTGTTGAACACAGTACATAGTTTGTAATTTCATTCAGCTTCTTTCAGTTATAATTCAAGACAAATAAAATGCAAAAATACTAGAGAATATAACAAATTATTTTTCTGTAATATTCGTGCGTAATCGATAATTATCAACATTATTTATGGGTGCATAAGGAATACGTTTCGTTGTAAATTATTCTTAATATACATTTCTGAATTTTAGTTTTTTTCATTTTTTTTTCTCCCAAAAAACAAAAGAATTTCACAATGTCGAAAACGGAAAGTCTCACGTTTGTCGTACTTGTGTTTCTTTATTGTTATCCATCGTTGTTTAAATCGTCACGCCAGTATAGTTGGTCAGAATGCAGTCGGGGTATGACAGTCGTAAAGTCACCCGCAGTGATTTATTATCGGCACAGCCAATATATTATGCTCTACATACAGTGGATCCGCTGTAGTCTGTTTTTCACCACAACCGAGTACTGAAACGCAATAAACCATTTAACGCACAGTGCGAGATCCCGCGTTATGTATGAAATCGAATATAATGTGTTTTTGCGCTCAGATAACCCTATTGGTTGTCCGAGGTTTGCGCTCAAGTGGGTGTGCGTGTATGTCCGTGCTGTAATTCGAAGAGAAAATTAGGTATACACTCAAAACTTGGCGCAGATGTTCCCTGTGTCACTCACGCGGGACAGCGAACATTTTAGGGATCAAAAGTCAAGTGTCAAGGTCACAGCATGTGTTTATGTGTTTCACTACATAAGATAATTAGCCAGTGCTATCAAAATTGTTCCCTGTGCGATTCGCAAAATAAGGCCTTGACGCATTTTGAGGCCAAAGGTCAATGTGACAGTGTGATTTGTGTACGTCTTGTATACATCTATAGAGGGAAAATAGCCAGGGCCTTCAGACTTGGAAAACGTGTTCCCCGTACGTCTATATAAGTTTTTGTCTTGAAAACTTGGCGCACAAAGCCCCAATCTAATTAAAATAAGATCCTGGTTTGTTTATTTTTTTAAATAATTTTTTTTTATATAATCATTATAATTATCATTTATTTTCATCCTTTTTTGACGTCACAATTATTGTTTTGAATTGAAATAAATAATAATAATACAAATCAAAATTTCTAATAAAAATTTATTAAAATTAAATTAAAAAAAATAAGCCAACCGGGATCTTATTTTAATCACACTGAAATATTACTTTTGTGATCCACAATACATACACTTTAAGGTCAAAGGTCAAGTTACCAGTATATTTGTGCATAAGGCATGAATTGTGGCTCTGAGTGTTGACAGGAATATTGAAAACAACCGGTGCTGATTGTCTTCTCATATTCTGAGTTTGAGCGCTATCTAGTTATTGCTTAGATGAATTGTAATCTAACTATATCTCTTCGTACAGACCAATCAACTGTTAAGTTTGCACCAAGAGCTTTTATTAGTCCCGCTGAATATCTTAAATATGAAGAAACCGAATCTATTATAGAACAGTACCAAGACTACATGAAAGATGCGTCATTTATAAACACACATTTTAAGGTATGGCTCACTATGGCTAAAATCAGGTTAACGTGGGAGCTGCTCCAATAGTTACAGAAATCTATGGTTTTAGCAGACGGAGTGAATATCGTCTGTTTCCATCGTTTACCTTTCCTCCTTCTACATATTCTAAACTATGCTGAACATATTACTAAACGGGGAATTATCGTTAGAGTTCCGTCATTTTGTTTCTTTCGTGATGTGATTCAAAATGACCGACTGGCGGCTATGTTGGTTTTACAACAAGACACAATGAACTTCAACCGGTTATCAAGCATGCCTAGGCCAATTCGACTTGGCATGAAGATCACACACGATGGGTTACCGATGTACATCTGTTTGTTTTGAGATTCGATTCATGGTGGACAGAAGCCACTCATGTGGAATAAATGCGCTGAAACAGACATTACCCGATTTCATTTAATCACCAATACTATGCCTAGCATGTCTCTGCCTTACAGGATGGGATTCGTGACGCTGTGTTAATTACAGCTGCAGTGAATGACATTTGGAAGAGCGATGACGCTACTGGATACGAACACTACACCCTGTTTCGTTACATGGGGACTAGGAACGGTGTTTACCGCCAGTTACCTGGGATTTCCATGAGTAAATTGCACGACACTACAATACGACCCTGGTAGGTAGTCATACGTTTGGCCACTGTATAATAATTAAACCGACTGCTGCCACCACAGAAATATAATATATTTTGGCATCGAAGCCACTGATCACATCGATCGTTGACCCAACTATTTGTTTCTTCGACAGGTATGAAAGAGCAAAACACAATGCAGACATACTGACATTGTCAGTGCCTTACGTAGATGCTAATGGGGCTGGCGAGGTTATAGCGCTAAGCAAAGCCATCACTGAAAGGTGGGTGAAACGCTACAATACACACAACTAAAATATTTCGATTAAAATAATGTATGCTTTTAATGGGTTGGATGATTTGCTGGAAAAATTAAATATAATGTTATTAAAGAGATGGTTATTTGCTCAAATTATAGTATAAGTTCACCTACGTCAACTAATGTGCTAGCTGTTATGGGTATGGATTTCACGATTTCCTATTTCTACAATATGCTGATTAAGCACTACCCTGAATGTGAAGAGATCGGTAACAGGTTTGTATTGTCTTGGAATATATATATATATATATATACCTGCGAATGCGTGTCATTGTTTACAAACAAGTAAAATTTACTCGAATTTTGTCTGTTGGGTTCAAAATTAGGGTTTATTTCCAGAAATATTGATTAATTTAAGGAAAAAGTGCAGAATTTGGGCAAGAATTCCGGAGGGTGAAAAGGTTAACTGCCGAAAACTATGCACCATATATTTTGTCATTTTTTTATTTTCCTTATGATTGCTCTTTGTGTCGATCCATCTGTCTTGCTTTTTGGTCAATGCTCGTCTCTAAAACCGCTGTTTGGATTGGAATAACACATACTGCGCATGCGTTTCAATAATATGAGTATTTTCATCGATTCAACTATAGCACTTACTCTCAAAATTTGAAAAAAAAACACATACTGCAGGTAATTTGTGAATGTAAATATTAATTAACATATTAATTTATTACCCTCTACGTGACAGCATCAAATACCAGGTGTTGATATAGTTAGGTTGCAATTTGTTCAGATATATACTAACTGTCAGATTTAATAATTATATAATTCTTCAATATGACTAAACATCTTTGTTCAATATATCGGTAACATCATAATAGTTCTTAAAAAACTACAATATATACAAATTTTAGATGTGTTTGTATTGTATACGGTTATCGATAAAGTCGTTCTCATTGTGTGAAATATTAGTAAACCGGTTTACTGGAAACATTCAAGCGATTTTTATAGTATACTAGTATAAATATTCATATATATATATGGTGATTTCCAACATTTATTTTGTGTATTTAGTTGCTTTGTCATGGACAGTAGTGGATTTTTAGTTATACATCGAGACTTCACCGAGGCCGATTCTGATGTGAGTGATATCCATATTATGGAAAAGGAACCAAATGTTGCCGAAGACCTGTTAGAGAAAGGTATTCTTCAAAAGCAGCAATGTGTGGATTTTCAGATGATTAAAAACCTGAATTACTATATGGTATGTATTATATGCAAGCCGCGTTTTAATTTGTATACAAGATGACAAGAAATGTATTGAATGTGAATATGCATAATAATCGAGTTTACAAATGTATCGTTTTAGCACAAATTGATTTCATAAATCTGTTCATATTTGCACCATTTATATGTGTATATTGATCTTGGGTTTGGCAATTGGCACTTGTTTTTCTATCCAGACAAGGCACGTTGGTTCGACATCGAGTATTGACAATATGGACGATACAGATGTATGTAAACGCTATAAACTTGCTCATGTCCAAGATACAAACGTCTATCTGGGTATTGTACGCAAGTTAAATAGATGCAATCGATACTGTCCTTGTTATTATGTAAGTAAAACACAGCGCGTCTGTCATATTTTCTGTTATTGAACAAGAATTAGTAAGTTTCAGTTTCTTTAGAGTTAAGTTGTATACTTGTTTTTTTACTGTGACAGTCATGGAACGATTATGAATACGCAATAACCTGATATAGAAGCACACCAGTGTTTTGCATATACCGTATAGCTAACCCTAACTCCTCGTAGCCGTGACGTTTCAAGTGTAAACGTCACAGAATTCTCCATAGAGTAGGGAGATACAGGTACTTTCAATGCTAAATTCGTGCTGGTAGCGAACCCTGCTTATCTAACCTTTTTCAATTATTGGGAAGAACCAAGATGTGAGAAATGCCCGACAATAACAAGTGTGCAAATTAAATATCTATATGTGCATTATGTGTGAATACCCAAAGCAGTGGATTTGTGGTGTAAGGCAACTTGTAGTTTACTATGATATGTACATGAATCAGGTGAAAATTCTCCAGGTCAGTGACCCATTCATTGTCCATCGTAATACACGTATGATCGTGACAAAACATAATTTGCGGCAATAACTCAGACGGCAATTAAGAGTCGGTTTGGGGGGTTCTCGTATATTGCCTTCATTTTACTACATGTAAACACACCAATGGGCCACATGTTGTTATAATTAGTTGTATATATACATTTATTATGTGCCTTTATTACGATCTTTCACAGTTACCAAAGAAACCCCCAGATCATATAATTGAATTGGGCGATGTGATGACGAACAATCACGTGAATTTCTTCTTATGTATATTTAGGCAGACTGTCAGTATACAGCCCTTGAGCGTGAATGCGAGTGTCCGTGTTTATCGCTAACAGAATACGAATACTGTAAAGACCAGTTCTCGTTCACAAGGTAAGAGTTATACGTGGTGTGACATCATTATTTAAGACATGTCTATGCGTGTATGTAATTAACTCGTCACTCGGTGCCAAGTACATCATGAATAATGACACATATATACTTAACATCCGACCTGTTCATGGAATGTACATGATGTACTAACACATACACACAATCGTTGACGTGTAAATTTCAATGTACTTTTAACAAATTATTGTGTTAAAATAGTGGACATACAATAAGTTTTAAACATTAACGTTAATTACAACTTTAATGACAATTATGCGTTATTGTTTTTCAGTGATGATGAACCGACTTGTCTTCCACCAAGACCATCGTTATCTCTCGTTATTGAGGAAACCAGTCGTTATAGGGGTTTAGATCAATGTTATGACGTCGAGTGTGACGTCAAGCAAACTGCAAGGTGAGACCAATTTCATTCATTTTTTTGCCAATACGTTCATTCGGATTCTGTGAAAACTAGTGTGCCAACTAACGAGGCAATGAGAGAACTTCGTTCAGTATTGCATTGTCTATACGTTAGTATCTTTAAATCATGTTCCTTGCGTTACAGTGAATGCAACGCGTATGTCAGTTGCAAGTGGAATCGTGAAGACGAGGCATGCGCAGACATGTTTTCCGCAGTTGGTATGTACTAAATATTATGCACATACATGTACTGTGTAAATGGCGCGTAGTACTAGAACGTTTCGATTCCGGCCACTCGATTAAAACAACGCGGTATGTTTGTTCATGTTTTGAAACAACTCTCTCGACTAGGGATAAAGGACGTTTTATCTCATTTTAGTGGGATGTTAAGGCATTCTGAACAATTCTGAACAGGGGATTTTCTAAATTTCCTCGGTAAAGTCTCAAAGTGAAACCTTTTCCTCATGAAACATGGATAGCACACACAATGTACAGCAATGCACGACTGAAATGGGAGTGATGGTTCACTTTGTCACTTTCAATTGATTTCTCGTTTCAGATGATGACGTTTCAAATACACTCCGTACAGCAGTAATCGTCACTGTCGTTGCGCTGGTGTTGTGTGTCCTGGTTGCGATCATTCTTGTGGTCAAGTTTAGGCACAAAGGTAACATTAACGAGCCGAACACTATGGATAACTATCCCCAAAGGCCGATACCACCAAGTGCGCCGGTACCAAGCACGACCTACGCAACGCCAGACTATATAACGATAATCAATGATTAGTTATACCCTGAACAAGCGACACAGCCAGATCCGGCGAATATCACTTAATATGCAGATTTATTTCAGTCTGATTAATGGCGTTTATTTTTTTAATCGTGCCACATTTAAAAAAAATTGACGATATCGCCATGGGAATTTATAGTGATCCCTGACCTGTTTAAATTACAAACGACCTGTATTTACTAATTTTTGTTTCCGAATATTGCCGACTAACAAGGGAATATAAGGTTATCCGGACGAGTACAACTTCAAAAGAATGGGTAACACCCTGGATACAAACTAGATCGGCGAGTGATGCAAATGCATGGTTGTTCTATGGAATGTCTAAGCAGGTGTATAAATTAGTGCATTGGACTCTTACCAGACCAAAGTGCCAAAGCACTAAACAGTCTATTAACATAAGCGGCTGAGAGGGAGTACTATAAATATTACTAGGAATCAAAATGGTTTTCTCGGGACCGACATCCGGGCATATCCACCACCTGGCAACCATAGTCCGAAAACTCTCAGAAACCGGTATAATTTAGATATTTGTTGAGGCTCCCCAGAACACTGTAACAAAATTACCCCTGCGTGTGCAACATGTATAAATTTGGTTGCTAAAATTACTTCAATATCAAGTTTGTGCCGTTTGCTGGACTTAAGCTGTTTTCTGCGGCTCTTCGATCGGCGTTCCACGCAGCTTGCGCAGAGCACATGAGAATACATGGTACAGTGGTGCAACGTAGAACGTTCTGTGACGTAGCTCTGCCTCCGAGAATATTTCTTATATTGTGTATATTTGGTCATGAACATGAGGAACCACCAACCATAGTTCAAAGTCATATTGATATATAGATTTGAACAGTGAGTACTCAGCAAACGTGTATTAAATCTACTAACTGTGTGTAAAATAGTGTTTTTTATTGTTATGACATAATTATACAAAATGTATACTGATATAAATATTACGTAATATTGTAAAATAATTATACTACATCGCACATCGGAGCAAATGAACATATTATTATAGTAATGACACCATTACTAACAGTGTGTAGTTCATTTTGCAAAAAAACCCTACGCTTGTATACATATAATTTTTTTTTTGTATTATACGTTTCTGATTTAATCCTGTGACTGTATTATATACGCAACTCACTGCTATACACAGTTAACATGTGATATATATCTAACGCTAAATGTCCATTAAAAATAAACAATCAAACAATTACTATAGTTAATGTGTACGTTGCTTATATGGTCAGATATTGTAGGTGTGCTCCTTAAAATATCGCACATATTCGTCGCCTCATAGGGTTAATTGCGTCAGAATTGACTGTGACCTGAAAAAAATACATTGCAGTAATGAGATAAGAATTGGATAAACAAGTTTAGGATAAACAAGTTTAGGATAAACAAATTTCGGATAAACAAATTTCGGATAAACAAATTTCGGAAAAAAAATAGTTCGAAGCGTTTGAGATGTTAGGAAATATGTTTACAAATGCTACGATATTCAAAGATATACACACCAGAAATGTCAGTCTTGCCAATAGCTTAATATCACGTAGCAGTTTCATATATTTGATTGTGATTGAGTTTTCAGCAAGTAACTAGATCACTCCGCAGTAACCTGTTACGTTTTTCCATTCCAAATTTCGTATTTAATCATCCGAATATTACAAACCTACGAAGTGTGCATAACAAATCTACATGAGTGCTTAGTTTCAGCTGCTGATAGTGACATAAACATGACAGATCTAATTAATGTAGCAATGCAAAGACGTCTTGTTTTCTTTTCTGAAAAACATGGTAGAGAGTTTCTTATATATTTTGAATGTGTTAACAAGTTTATCATATCCCGCCTCAGATGGAAATTGACCAGCTGGGCACTCTACGATCTAAATTTGCAAGTACATACTCCCCAAGCTAATGAATGGAAAAAGTATCGTTGGAAGGAGGATATAAAACAGAATTTTGTAGATAAGTTGAATTCAGACGAAGTGGTGGGGCTACTAGATAAAGCACATGATTATGTAGGCGAAAATAACGACAGGGTAATTATTGTATTAAGGGTGCATTAAAACTAGCTGGGGAAGGAATGGAGTGTCGCGGTACTTCTAAAAATATGAACAATCAACCACCATGGTTCAATAAATCCTGCCAAGATGCCAAACGTGAAATGTTCAGATGTCTTACGTTGTTCAGGAAAATGCACACTGACGAAGCACTGTTGCAATACAAACTTGCTCAAATACTTTCAAAAGCATTTGTAATTTTAATAAGAAAACTCACACAGACTTGCTGTTAAGTCGAGAACAAAAATGTTGGGATAATGTGGTTGGTCGGGATGGTATGTGGTCCGTGATTGGACGGTATTGTAGGGATACCTATAGTAGGAACATTTTGAACAGATAAATAAGCCACAGGTTGTAAACAACGGGGACGTCACTTTTGTTTCATTGCTTGAGGATCGTTATGCTAAAAATGGTAATTGTGGAGATTTGAATGATTGAATCACTAATGATGAAATTATCAAAGCAGTGAAATCACTGAAAAATAGGAAAGCTACTGGTCCAGACGGAATTCCTGTTCTGTAAATCATTTATTACTCATGAGTGAATTATTTAACAATGTTTTTGAAACAAGGAAATTTCCTGAAGGGTGGTCACGAGGGGTGATTATTCCACTTTTGAAAAAAGGTTCAAAATCTAATCTAAAATATTCTGTAGCATACTAAA